CCTTCGTTTTTTATCTGGTTTCCTTCAGCTTCGCTTTTTTCTCTTTCTTTTTTCTTTGGTTTTCACCAGTTTTCTTCAGGTTTTATTTTATTGAACACATGACCCTCCGTCCGGAAATACTTGTCATCAAAAAGAATAAAAAGTGATGTATCTAGATGTATTTTAGTTCTAGATACATCTCTTTTTATCCATTTTGATGACAAGTATTTTCAGATGGAGGGCGTACTTTTTAAATACATATTGTACACTTTTCTGTATGTCAGGAACATTTTCTATACACGTTAAGATTTTCTAAATACATGATTAACGTTTTTTTTCTAATATATGTTTTGATGTCTACTTTTTGAATACACAGTGTACATTTGCTATACATCTAAAACATAATCTATATACATTTTAAAAAATTCAAATACCTGTTTAATATATTTTCTAATGCAGTTTTTGAATATTTTTCAAATACTTGTTAAGCATGTTTGAAATACACATTGAAACTTTTTTCTGAATAGTAGGAGAGACCTTTTAAACTACGCGAACATTTTAGTACATTTTTTTATTTTTAAGATGTAGGAACAAAATATTGAGATGTGTGAACATTTATTTATTTTAATGTGAATTTTTTGTTGGTACGAAACTCTTTTTAAAAATTACATAAACATTTATATTTTTATTCTTTATAAAAAAATGACAAGTACATTTTTGGGAAATGCATGAACATTATTTAAATTTTATGTAAACATTTTTTGAAAGCTATCAATATTTCTTAAAATTGTGCTAACAATTGTTTTTACATTGAGGTAACATTTAAAAAAATTAAATACATTTAGATATTGAAATATTCCTGTTTAGATTTTTTTTTTTGAAAATATAAAAGTGAATGAATGAAAAAACAGAGAACAAAAGTAACCTGCAGAAGCTACTCCGGTCGACCCATTATACAAAGGAAATCCCATATTTTAGATTTGTGACATTGTTTCTGTTTCGTTACCACCTTTCCATCACCTCCCACGCCATCGCCATTTGGTGCTCCCCGCCTCCCGCGCCGCAGCTACTCTAGCCATCTGCCCCACTTCCCCGTCCTACACGTTGTGCTGCGCCGTCGCATGCATGCTCGCCTGGTCGGTGCCGGTCTCTCCTCCCCTCCATGGCCAAGTCCACATGATGTTTCTTCTTGCTTGTTTTTTTTTACGCTTAGGGTTCACTCCAGTGACCCCCTTTCAAAAGAACAAAATCAAACGAGCAGCGTTCGTAGCCTCAGAACAAACGTGTGATCAAGAGTTCAGGACATCATCGATAATGGGTACGTTTACTGGCAGAGTGTTACATTCAAATCACAGTGATAGAATAAAATAAGGGTGTTGCTAGATCTTAATCACTGAGACTTAATCAAGTCTCAGTCAAGTGACACAACATATAAATAGAAGAAAGAAAAAATGAAAAGAAAAAATTGCATGGATCTTGCGAATATAGCATCGACTCAGACTTAGTTAAGTCTCAATCGAGTGAGATTTAGCAATCCCAAATGAACAAGCTGTCTGATAGTTTTACTACGTGTAAACAAAACAAATTAACAGATAGTAGTACAACTGGACCAAATCAAAGAGTATCTGCCAAGTGCAAATGACAACTCAACAAATTAACTACATGCCTAATTAATTAATTGCATTAATGAATCAATTTATAAATTGATTCGGCGTGAAATAAATCCCAAATTAATGGACCTAATTAATTGTATACATAATTAGTTTTTGGCTGATTAATAATTGCCTTCTTGATTTCTCAATTGATTCGGTGCCGACTTTCAAATTATTTGTGCATTAATGACTCGCTTTAATGGTACTAGATACTCTACTAAAGACACTAGCAAAAGGAGTGCTAGTAAACGCATTGCCACAAGATCATAGACCCAAAGGATAGAAGAGAGACCGTTTTTTCTCTGAGTGGGAGCTAGCTTTACATATTGACATGGCGTTTAACAACAAGAGAAACACAAGCATCGTATGCTTGGCCGTCCTCATGGTGGTGATGGACACTGTGATGCTGTCATGTGATGCCATATCAGGTTAGTTTCATACATAGGGTTGATCATCTTGTTTCCCTTGCATACATACCTATAATTTTTTGTTGAAGGGTATAAACCTAGAACTTTCACAGCATGCATGCGTTACGAGACGAGTTTGATTCACATATTGACATGTTTCCCCTGATCTATTTTTATATCTGTGATGGATCCTTCAAGCTTAATCCATACTATTTCTACCATATGTACCTTGTCCTGACTCTTCTTTATTATAGTGCGTGTAGACTTCTGCTTTGGGTTTCATGGTGGATGCGAGCACCGGAAATGCAAGGCTGAATGTTTTAAGATCGGTTACCCAAAGAGACCCTTTTGCCACAAGGTGACCAACGCCTGCTGCTGTGAGACTACTGATAATCCCAAAGTCGACGCCATCGATCATGTTTGATAATTGAACCTTCATTTTATTAGATAAAAATGTATAACGCGGTTTGAGATCTGCACTTATAATAACGAGAGAGGTTCTATTTCTCTCATTTAGTGAATATGCAATCTATATGGGGCTGGTGCAAAGGGGAATTTACAGGAAAAGCTCTAAAGGTTCCATGTCATATATAAATGGAAAACCATTGGTGTACCTTTCCAACATGGCAGGTCTCTGTCTATTGGTATTTTCATGAAAGAATGCATGTGTACTGTTTGTTTTGGCTGGCCGACCTATTTTTTTGAAAACAATACAGATGCAAGCGCTCATATACACGAGCATACAATCACCCCTATGAGGAGTTGGTTGATGCAGCTGTCAAACATTCAGTTTCACTTGAATTATATTTGAATGCGAATGTTGTTGTTGCTACTGTTAGTGTGAAAGGAATTTGCAAAGGTTGATGATGATGCTATTATAAAATCGCTTTCAATCCTATAGATCTCGCAAAGGAATTTTACCTCGTCGTAGTAGTAAGTTTTCAACTCTGTACAATGTTAATTCTTTCACTTGATGATTATGCCTTCTCTTATGAAATTTTGCTTTTCATTTCTCTAAGGTGTTGGCTCTTCTTCCACTGTTGATCAAGTTATGGAAGACACTGATGAAGCAAGCCATTGATTTGGTGCTCTTTTTACTGCACATATTGTTTGTAGTTTTTGTCATCTTTTCTTTTATCTATTTTGTTGTATCTTTAAGCATTGAGTTTAAATTCTAAATATTTGGTGCAATTGAGTCATATTTGAGGTAGCTATAGTTTGATGCACGTTAAGTTTTTCTCTTGCGACAAAAACATTTTTGGGCCCGGGGCTTCCTCCAATCCTGGATCCGCCACTGTTGACGGGAACGTCTCCTCCCACTGAAAGCGCATTACCGGAAACCCTGAAATAGATCTAGATGCGAGCACCAGGATTTGAGCCCTGGTGGGCTGGGGATACCACAGTCCCTCTAATCATCGGTTGTTTCCTTTCCCTTTACTGCTTTGTTGCTTTATTATATGTTGTACTGAATCGACACCTTATTTTCAACGAAGTACATATGCATGTGTTCATATAAGCGCACCTACACTCATCTCTAATTCTCTATGAATGCACGCACGCACACCTTACCCTTATGAGCACTGAGATACCGAGCCGGCATCACATCTTGAGATTAACTAAGTCACTATAGACGTCTTCGTAGTCGATGGGAACATTTTCTCGCACTGAACGAACATCACCGTAAAGTCTAAAATAAAGTCATGAAAATGCGAGCACCAGTGCCAAGTCTAGGACTTGAACCATGGTAGGCTGGTTTCACCACAAAAAACCCCAATCATCTGAGTTAGACGCAATTGGCAAAATGTCACCCTTGAAAGAATGCATGCACCAAAAACAGTAGTACAAGCCCCTCAAAGAAAAAACAGTAGTACAAGCTTTTATTGCTTTGTTGTACCAGAATGGGAACTGGTGATGTTATTGTAGGCCATGTCAGCAATTTTTGCATGCTTTTTATTGCTCGTTCCATGGACTGTCGTGTCAGACGTACTACTAATTACTCTTTAAATGCGTTATTTTTTTGAATGCTGTCAACATTTTTTTTAATTTTCCTAAGATTGTTTTACACCGCGTTAGCATTTTTAGAAATCACGGTTGTTAAATTTGAATAATATTGAAGTTTTTGAAATATGTATTTAAAATGTTTTGGAAAATATGAATAAAAGGAAAAAAGCAAAGAAGAAGAATAAACTAATCGTGCAGGAAGCTACGTGGGCCGGCCCATTATATGGAGGAGGTCCCAGAGATTTTAGATCCGTGAGAGGGCAACCTGCAGGAATCTCTCCTTGCTACCTTTCCATCACCGCATGCGCCGCCGCCGTTCGATGCGGCGCCGCTACTCTCGCCGGCTGCCCCACTTCCCCGTTCGGCGCGCTGTGCTGCATGCTCGCCGGCGCGGTGTCGGTCTCCATCCTTGTCCTCGTCCCTGGCCAGGTCCGCAAGATGTTTCTTCTTGCTTGGTTTTCTTTCGCCTAGTTTCTTTTTACGCGCAGGGTTCACTCTAATAATCCCTTTTATAAAAGAACCAAATCACATGAGCAGCGGTGGTAGCCTCAAAACAAACTTGTGATCAGGACATGATCGATAATGGATATGGTTTCTGACAGAGTGTCGTTGTTACATTCAAATCGCAGTGACAGAATTAGTAAGTTGTCTGATAGTTTTGCAACCAGTGAACAGAGCAAATTAACAGATAGTAGCTCAACAGGACCAAATCAGAATGTATCTGCCAGGTGCAAGACGTCACAAACTGACCCGACACGATCAAAGTACACACACATTACATCAAAAATGTCATTATGATTTTCCATAGAAATAACATGGCGTAGCCAAATGCAGAAGCATTTGATGGGGGAAACATTATTATCTTGACGCGGATAAATTTCAAAGGAAATAACATGGCGTAGAGTGGCAGGAATGATGCAGTACGACTGTGCAGCACCCTCTGCAAATCTGTAGCTCCCCGTCAATGCCCGTCTTCAGGATACCATCGAGAATCCTGTGAAGCTGTGCTCTGCAAGTGGAATCACGAAATGTATAAGAAAGCCCGCAGTTGATAGATCTAGACAATGTAATAATATTTACTAGTACTGAATGAACTTCATTAGTGCGAGCATGCCTATGAAGTTTACCTCATCGTACAGCTTTGGGGCGCCAACAATTTCGATCTCACTCTGGCTTCCGGTTGCCCTGACCACGTCTTCTTCAGCCTCCTGATGATTCTCACTGTTCTCTTGGATGCGGTTGATGACGGCTACACCATCTCCAGCCTCCTGGACATACTCCTCTTCGTCCTCGATACCGTTGATGATGAGGTTGATGGTGTTGTGGTGCTCGGCCACTCCTTTTCTCACGGCATCGACTATGTTTTTGACGTTGGTGTTGTTGGTGTACCACGCATTGTAATAAAGGGCCAGCTCCCACAGGCGGCCGAGGTTTCCAAGCCCTGAAGGAATTCTCCCTTCACTCCCGGGGCCTCCACCAATTTTCAGTTCAAGATATGTGAGAAATGGCATAGCCTCTTGACTGAAAGTCAGCCACGGAACACGACAGCAGACGGACAATCTCCTAAGCAATCGGAACCCCTCTCTGTCAATCACAATCTCTTGTTCTGGAACGAAGTGCAAACCAAGAACGAGGCACTTCAATGGATGCATCGACGCGAGGATCCGCACATCTTCCTGCTCTAGCCTGCAAACCGTGATTTCTATGGAAGTAAGACGATCGAGGCCTTGGAACCATCGGGGGAGGCTCACAAATCTTCCTCCAGTCACCTTGAATTTCCCAAGGTCACGACAAGGCAATGGATTGGTTAGACAAGCTAGAAACTCCATCGGGCAACCCAGTCCACAGTGAATTGTCAGAGACTGCAGAAATTCCCATCTTTGTATGCATGAGCATAGAGCTTCCTGTACTCTTGGATCAGTGCATTGGCGGAACGACCATCTTATGCACAGCACCTTGAGTAACCTTAATCTGCTGAGAGACTCTACGACACCTGCAGAGCATTCGCTTAAATCAACAGTATCCAGCGTGGTTAGGGAAGTTCGATCGCTGGTTCCCTCTGGTAGCTCTGATATTGTTTGGTCGCAGTAAACTCGATCCCCACCAACAAGCAGAGTTTCAAGCGATGGGACCTTCCAAATGTACTCTGGCAGGTGCCTTATTTTTGTGCTTCTTAGGTCCAGTGAATGCAATTCTTGTAGATCGCACACTTCTATCGGGAGCTCACTTATCTGCGTGTGGCTTGCAACCAATGTATGAAGCACGAGCAGCTTCCTGATCTCGGGCGGGAGCCTGCTGACACTAGTGTTCCTCAGGCTTAAATACTTGAGCAAGAACATTCCCTTGTTGCATATGAGCGATAGGTCTTCATCCTTCAAGCTCTGCCAACCTTCAAGGTCCAATATGATCAGATGGATAAACTTCTCAAGAGCGACTCCGTCGACTGTACCGGAGATAGCTAGTGAACGCGTGTGCGAAAGATCCCTTGTGTTCAGAAAATTTTCAATATCCGGATCTGTTCGGTGGAGAGCTATCCGCCGTGGCTTCTCGTTGTGTTTGTTTAATCTTTCTACCGAGGTTAGCCAGCCACTGGTACAAGCAAATCCTTTATCAGCCGATTTGGAGGCAAGGAACTGTAGCATAAAGTAATTTACTTTGTACTGACAACCCTCCTCCAGTCGATGAGTTAGTGTAAAATCTACCCAATCCTCCCGTTGAGTAGGTCCTTTCCAATTTGCCACTGGGGTGATGATATTCCTGTTGATGAGCTCGTAAAGTAATATCTCAATTACCTCGAGATATTGAATGTCCGTTATCTCAATATATATCTCTTCAATTTGCCCGACATAGTGACGATTTACTTCAATCAAATCTTCAAATTCCCATTTGTATTGGAGTGTATCTGTCTCAAACATATAACATTCAGGAAGCATACTCATGGAAAGCACCAATACCTTCATAATGTGAGGGAGATCATCATAAGTAGGAGACAACGCTTGTTCAAATATCTGTAGCAGCTGGGGGACATCTTCCATATTATAATAAGAGTTTTGCTGCATCTCCTGCTGTTGTTCTTGTAACCAGCCAGCCATACCATCTATGAATAATGGGATACCTTCACATCTCCTCAAAATCTCGGTGCAAACTTGCCTGAAATTTTCTGGTGGGTGTTCAACCTCGCAGCCAAAAGCTTTTCTGAAAAGTAGCATTTTTGAATCTACCTCACCCAGAGGCTTAACCTCGTGCACAAGCCCAAAAAAACAGGAGCAACACCAGCAAGCTGTGTTTCTGATACGTGTAGTTATCACTATCCGGCTCCCTTGGTTATTTCGGGGGAAAGCCTTCTTTATGATATCCCAATCTGATATTTTCCATATATCATCAATCACGATGAGGTACCTATCAATGGACAATAATAGGATATATTAACTGCAGAATAGTATATTAGGATGATCAATGTATGAAGGACATATTTTTCTGAAAGATGAATTAAAGACATATATCCAGTATTCAGTTCTAGTGTGTAAAAAAACCTCTTATCTGATCAGAGTGCGTTGATCGAACTTATAAGATTCTCAGAGTAGCCTACAGCATCATAACGTTTTGAATCCGTGTTTGACTAATATTATGGGAAATAAAAGGTAGGATGTCAAAGTACCTCCTATCTTGAAGGCATTCACTGATTTTCTGAATAAGCTGCTCCAGCTCATCAATGGACGCTGGTGCTAGTGCTGCCCGCTCGTCAATCTGTGAGAGAATGTGCAGTAGAAGCTTCTTCATATCAGGCCACCGGGACGCCTTAGCCGTAGCGCAGCACAATACGTTGCCTTTCCCACCTCCTCTACTTTGGAGTCTGCGGTAGACCTCCATGGCAATAGCTGTCTTCCCCACCCCAACGGGTCCAACCATGGAGATGATTTTAACAGTGTCGCATTTACCGAAAAAGGGTTTCCCCCCGCTTTGTATTCCAAAGCACCAACACCGAGTACAGATAACGCTGTGGCGAGCAGCACAACACACCAGGAGAAAGAAGAAGAAGAAACAAATGCCAACCACGGCAGCTTGGCAAAGCGCGGACGACCCGCCACCACGGCGCCCACCGGAAATAAATCACCACAGACCAAGGCTCCAATCCGCCGCGTACCAAGCAGCACCTCCAAGAAGGGATGCGACGCCGGCGACACTGCTGCCCGGACGAGTCCTCAGGTTTCCCCGGGCACGCGGAGGGAGGTGGGGGTGGAAACTCCCGACACCCTCCAGGAAGGAACAGTGTCGCATTTATGGTCGTCCATGAACCACCTGAGCACCTTATGTCCTAGGGCGCCATGGACCCCAACAAGCGGCTTCCTACCAGCTGCCGTTTCCACATAGGGATGAGGCTGCAACGGACTAGTCATCCTTGAAGAAGTAATCTCGTCATCATCGGCAAGCAGAAGATGGTTGTATCTGCAACTTGATTCAACTATTGATGGAACATCTCGCAAGAATTTCTTCAGTTGGAATAGATTTGAGAAGGGGATCCTGGCAGTAGTACGACAAAAGCAGCCAATCGCACCAGCTTGCTTGTGATTATACAGCTCATTCCATAAATCCGTAGCCAGGTTACTCTGCTTTTCCAGCCAATCAGGCATGATAGCGGACTTGATATAATAACTACCATCCCGATCCGGCAATGGAAGTTCTCTCAGTAATTCAGAAAGGTCGCTAAGCTCAACCTCCAAGAACCTCAAGAACAACAGGCTGACCGAATCCGTGGAACGGACGCGCCGACCGTGATACCGCAGCAGCAGCTTGGAGATCCTCCCAATAACGCCCTTCATCTGCTCTAGTACTACTTCCTTGATTTGCTCTGTATTCAGCCCCCCCATGGAAACGTAAGATGCTGGCCCATCCTGCAATGGTGGAGATCACGGGTAGAACTAAGAGGAGTAATTAATATCAAATGAAGAACTCGAAGAACTGGAAACCCGAAAATTACCTCATCCATGCTAGTGTGCGAGACTTGTGAAAGAGGGGAGAGTTATGTCTCAATGGAATGGAGCATGCAAGCAGGAGCTAACTAAAGGTCTCTACTGTTGCCTGATGGTTGTTTCGCGTTATTGAAGTGAAGGACAATGCAGTCTGCAAAGTCCGTCTTCTTTAGTTGTTGCAAAACTGGTCAAATTAGCTGGCAATGGCAATTTTTTATAATAATGACAGCAGCTGGCTACACTAGTAACCATGCTCTTACCTCATTGGGGGGTTGGGTAATTAAAGATGAAAGAGCTTATGGCTTACAGCTTTCCAATGCATTTTTTACTTCACTCATCATTTGTCCTAAAACTTGTATACGTAGATTTTTCACCGACCGAAGGAGTATTATACTCAACCTTCTCTTTCTTCGTTTAATTATGCACCACCTTTATCAAAATTGCATGGCACCCTAAAAAAACATTAATAAGGTACAACAACCGGCCTACACTAGTGGTTTAGCTATAAGCTATCTTTGTATATTTGGATAGGGACAGACTTTCGTAATACGTGTTTCGTATCGTAGGGTAACACACAAGTTGCTCTTAATTGTATATATATATATATATATATATATATATATATATATATATATATATA